GACTTCCATAACCCATACTTTTCTTTTTTCTTTTCTTTTCTGTTTTTTTTTTAAGGCAATTGGCGTTAAGTGACTTGCCCAGGATCACACAGCTAGTAAGTGTCAAGTGTTTGGTCTGAGGCCGGATTTGAACTCAGGTCCTCCTGAGACTTCAGGACCGGCACTCTATCCACTGCGCCACCTAGCTGCCCCCTCTTATGATCTTTTTAAGAAGCATGCATACCATGAATATATATTAATCTCATGAATATGTATTTTCATTAGTTCCTCTTTTTAGACTATAAGAATGCTCTGTACTCTGCCACGGATATCTCTGGCTACTGAGGAGCCACTCATTCTATTTATTGGCAACTGCTAGCTTTGCTAATAAACTGAATGTACTCAGAACTTTTTTGCCGCAGTTTTTCTTTATTGCAGATTTCTACAGCGACACTTTCTCCTTTCCATATACTGTACCTAGCTGCTCCTCAAACAAGACACTCCATCTCTTGATTCTGTGTCTTTTCACTTGCTGTCCCTCAAGCCCAGAATACTTCCATCCTTACCTCTACCCTAGTTTCCTTCAAAACTCAGCTCCAATTTCAACTTCTGCCTTTCCTAGTTCCCCTCACTACTAGTGCCTTCCTTCTTAGATGACCTTCCATCTACTCTGTATATATCTTGTGTAGATATATAGAATATGAGTCCATTGAGGGAAGGCACTGTGTTTCTGCATTTCTTTATAACATCATTGCTTAGTAGAGTGCCTGGCACATAGTAAGAGCTTAATGCTTGTGACTGACATCTAAATTGTAAGAGACGATAGTATCCCATATATGGTTCAGCAAAATCTACCTTTATAAACTCTGCCTACATCTAGACCTTTGGCAACTTATCACAGATCCTCTCTATCATCCTTTCCACCAGGGCACAGCCATTATCCCCATTCATCCCCACTCATCCCCCATTCTCCCCATACAAGACCACTGACTGGTCCTATGAGTAAGTAAACTTCAATGTTCTCTTCTGGACATATTTTTCATTTCTCTGTATTCTCTTTTGGTGGTCTCATTAGCTGCCTTGGTTTTAACTATCATCTTCATGCATATAAACATCCTGATCTGTATGTCCAGCCCTAGTCTCTCTCCTACGTTCCACACATCACCAACTTCATGCCCATAGGTATCTCAAACTCAGCATGTCTAAAACAGAACTCATTATTTTTCCCCAAAAAACTTTTCCCTCTTCCTAATTTCCCTAAATCTGTTGATGGCACCACCATCCTTCCAGTAACTCAGATTTATAACCTCTAGACTTGCTACTCTTTTTTTACCCCTCATATCCAATCAGATATCAAGTCTTTTCAATTCTACTCAACATCTCTCACTCACATCTACTTCATTCTCACCACTTACATGGCTCTAATTCAGGCCTTCAATACCTTTCTGCAATAGCTTCCTAATGGGTCTCTATGCTTCAAGTAATCCTAGTGGTTAGCATTTCAAGTAGCTTCTCTTTCCTAACCATTCTCCACCTAACTACCAAATTGAAATTCTTATTTGATTTTTTTCAAATAAGCATCTATTTCCTCTTCCTCCTACCCCCACTTTAAAAGGAAAAAAACCCCTCTCCTAACAAATATGCATAATGAAGCAAAATAAATGACCACACTATCCATGTCTCAGTCTGCATCTTGAATCCATTACCTCAATAGCAGGAAGAGGGTAACATAATTCATCATTAATCCTCTGGAATCATGGTTGGTCAGTGAATTCTTAAGTATTTAAAAGTTGTCTTTACAATGTTGTTATTATATAAATTGCTCTGGTTCTTCTCACTTCAGTTTGCATCAATGCACATAAGTCTTCACAAGTTTCTATGAAACCATCTCTTTTGTCATTTCTTATAGGACAATATTATTTCCTGACATTCATCTGCCATAATTTGTTCAGCTATTTCTCTACTGATGGGCACCCCTTAGTTTCTAGTTATTCACCATTACAAAAAGAGTTTCTATAAATATTTTTATTACATATATTATAGATAGGTCCTTTTCTTCTTCCTTTGATCTCTTTGGGATATAGGTCTAGTAAAGGCATCGCTGGTCCAAAGGACTAAATTAAAATTCCTAAAGAATAGCTCTTACCCCATCACATCTATCAGATTGGCTAACATAACAAAACAGGACAACAATAAACGTTGGTGAAGATATGGGAAAATTGTAACACTAATGCATTGTTGGTGGAGTTGTGAAATGATCCAACCATTTTGGAGAGCAATTATAGACCCAAAGGGCTATTAAAATGTGCATACCCTTTGACCCAGCAACAGCACTTCTAAGGCTGTATCCCAAAGAGATCATACAAATGAGAAAAGGACCCACATGTACAAAAATATTTATAGCAGCTTTTTCTGTGGTGGCAAAGAATTGGAAATTGCGGGGATGCCCATCAATTGGGGAATGGCTGAACAAGTTGTGGGATATGAATGTAACAGAATACTATTGTGTTATAAGTGATGAGCAGGTAGACTTCAGAAAAACCTAGAATGACTTGCATGGACTGATACTGAGTGAAGTGAGCAAAACCAGGAGAATGTTATACACAGTAACAGTCATGTTGTGCGATGACTAACGTTGATAGACTTAGCTCTTCTCAACAATGCAAGGATCTAAGACATCTCCAAAAGTCTCATGATGGAAAATAGTATCTACATCCAGAGAAAGAACTATGGAGTTGGAACGCAGATTGAAGCATACTATTTGCTCTTTTTTTTTCTCTTTTGTTTTGTTTCATCTTTCTTGTGGTTCCTCCTATTGGTTCTAATTCTTCTGTACAACATGACTAATGTGAAAATATGCTTAACAGGAATGTATATGTAGAACCTATATCAGATTTCATGCTGTCTTGGGGAGGGGGGGAGAAAATTTAAAACTCAAAAGCTTATGGAAGTGAATATTGAATACTAAAAATAAATTAATTAAAAAAAAAAAGAATAGCTCTGACCTCAATACTTTCCTGCCCAAAAAGTGTGGCCCATTTGTTGTTGTTGTTGTTCATCTTTCTTTCTCTTCCCTTTGGAATAAAATGCAAACTCCCCTGTTGAGTGCTTAGTGTCCTCCACTATCTGGCTTCACCCCTCCTCTTCTGGCTCACTGCAGCCAACTGGTCTACCAGCTATTCCCCCCCCCCCCACCTGAGATTCTATCTCTTATCTCCATGTCTTTGCACAGGTTATCTCCAGTGTCTGGAGTTCATTCCCTTCTCAAATAGACCTTTTAGATTTCCTAGCTTTATTCAAACTTCAATCAAGGTTCAGCTCTAGCATCACCTCCTACGCAAGGCCCATTGGGTTCTTCATAGTTGCTAGTACCCTAGAGTTCCCTGAGGTAGCCAGCTTTAAGACTATAGGCTATAAAAGAAAGAAGGAAACACAAGGTAAAGGCTACTGAGGGTTGACAATATGCACGGCTTAAGGTCTATATTGTAGAAGACCAGAAGGAAAGGCAAAAACCCAGAACAAGTTATTTCACTGCATTCTACTGATAAGTTAAAATTGGAAGGGTTTTTACAGATCATTTGTTTCACTCCTCTTCCACCTTATTTTTACATATGAGCTTCCTGATCTGTAAACTGGAGTTCTCTTAGTTTAGTCTAAAAGACTAAAAGATCTTTAAAAGCCCTTCTAGCTCTAACTTTTTATGGTTCTAAGATTTCTAGGCATTTATTGAGTGTCTATTACAGATCTAATATATACCGTGTGTGTGTGTGTGTGTGTGTGTGTGTGTGTGTGTGTGTGTGTGTG